CGCCCGGCCGGTGAGTTCCTGCAGGTGAGAGCCTGGCTCGCCGGGTTGCGCCTGCTTGGGAGCCACAGAGGGGGAGGGGGAAGGCCGTCCTCACAGGATCGCCCAGGGGCTAAGGCGTGGAGATGAGGGAGCAGAGGAGATCCTGGCTCAGTCCTCTGTCTGGGGAGAGGAGACGTGACAGGCACCGTTCTGGCTAATCTTTTCCACCCAGGCGTGGATTTTTCCTCCTGGTGTGGAATAATTTTTTTGATGTGCGGATGCGCACCACCCTTAGAAACACCTCTAATCCCACGCTCTGCTAATCCCACAAGTGTGTGCCTTACCGGGAACGCTGGCAACAGGAGCATTGGCATGGGGCTTTTGGTTTTCCCTGGGTGGGGGGCCAGGCTGCGCTACAGCCTCCCTCTGCCTCAATGTCCCATCCTGTTCTGCCTCCCTTCTAAGGTTTCCCCTTAATCCACCCGCTTCCCTCCCCCTGCGAGGTCCCTCCCTGCCGACCACTCGCTGCCTTCCCCAAGCTACCAATCAGCTGTTTGGTGGGGGGAAGAGCAGCCCCATAGCACCCACAGAGCCAGCCAAGAGGCACGCACCCCAACCCGAAAGAGTGGCTTTCCAGTGCCTTCTTGCCCAGTCAAAGGAAGAGACACAACCCGTGTTCCCTGTAATTGATTTTAAATTTGCATGTGGAATAAATTTTGTTCCATGCACCGAGGCACTAGCAGATGTGCACCACCCAATGGAATACAAAAACCTCGCTGGGGGCACTCTGCTGACCCACCGGGTGGGGCTTGATTCTCTCCCGGGTGGCCACCCGGCTGCTGCCAGAGAACGCTGGTCCCATCGAATACACGGTGAGTTACAAAGAGCAGCCCTGAGGTGTTCCCCCGAAATCATCTCAACGGCTCCGGTGTCGGTTTTGTGTCGGGTCGCTTTGGTTTCACTCATGATCCTTCTCTCCTTTCCCCTTCTAGGACATCCAAAGCATCTTGAGCAGGTACGTGGCTCCTTCTCACGCCCCCTCCATACGACAGACCGCCTCCTTACACCTGAGGCCCCGCCCCCTTATGCCCCAGGCCCCGCCCCTTTCGGGGGGGGAGGAGCTGGCTCTTCTACATCTTACTCCCCAGCCTGCAGTAGCCATTGGCCCTGCTGTAGACCAAGAGGCAATGTTCCTGCTCATTTTTCCCTCATCCCTGTGTGGAATAAATTTTATTCCATGCGCCGAGGCATGTGCACCACCTGGAGAAACACACCCTGCCGGCTGGAGGCGCTCTACCAATCATCTGGCCAGCGTTTGACTCTCTCCTGGGTGGGTGCCCAGGCGCCCAGCTTGCAGGGAACACTGGATCGGACTCCATTATGCTAGGACAAAAAATGTCACACACTCCCCCTGCCA